TTCTCTTAGTATATAATAATGTGTGAATAAATAGTAGCGTAAATAAATGCACAACGAATTATCACATGTCGAGGTAGGTGAGTAAGCAAATGATTAGCAGGATAAATATATTAATAGAGGGATAAACAAATATATAAAAAAGTGAATAAATGATGTGTCTGTTTGCGATCGTCCAGCCGTCCGATGATATCTTTATTCACCTCCGTGCGCGAAACTGTCGTGGGCTTGCTGACGCGAACAACACACAGAGACATAAAATTAAGATTTTTTGCTCAAATGGGCTATATATAGACAGAATCACAAGTTAACTCGGAAAATGCAAAGAAAAAAATTTAGGAAAGAGTTGGGACGATATTAGATTGTTGGAAAAGTCAGTGCTTCTTTATTATAATGATCAGTAATAATATTGTAAATTTTTTCACTCCTGAAGTTGACAAATGTCCAGCTGTCAGGCGGGAAGCCAGAGTGATATAGCCGAGCGCTTTCCATTGTCTAGAAAAACTTTGTCGCCAACAAATTTTTTGAATCACAGAGATTGCTTAACCGATAGCGGCGCTGCAGATTTGGCCAATAATTACGTTGGCTCACCTATTTATCATAGCAGAGCAGTAGGACAAAAACACACAAATACACAAACACACACACACACGCAACACATACCCATCCATATATATATATATATATATATATATATATATATACATATATATATAATATCCAGCAAGAAAGTGTTCTGTAAAGCTATCCGATTGTTGAGTTTTTTGAACTTCGTGTGTTTCGCACATTTCATTTCGCCAATCCTTCAAACGAAAACAGTGGGAAAACCTAACGTGCAAAGGATCTTCTTGTGATCAGGGGGACTTCAGACCTCTAACGGTCAATAACATTAGATTTTATAGAAGAAAGATAACGATTTTCAAGTGAAATAGTCCGCGGACGATAAAGGAAGTACGAAGTATTCATTTCTTGCGTTGCCCGTTTAGCCCCCACCATCTTTATGAATCACTGCAAAGGTTTATTCCAGTGTATGAAAGACAATTTTGCAATCATCCTCTACGTTAGCGCTTGCAACGCTTAATGTGGCAACGATAGCGTGGGAAAAGCATTCAAAGTCTGATGAGTAAACTTTGTCATTGGTGTCGCCACCGAAACACTCATAAGCGGTATTTTCAAATTCTCGGTAATCGAAACTAATTCATAACAAAGTCTCCCATAAAGGACTATTCACTTATATGTTACGTTTGTTTACAACGGACGTCTTCATAAATTACTATGAAGGTCAACATATTATTTCTCTAAATTAGTGATTGGGGCGCAGTGGCCTTGTGCCTGTGATGCTCTTCGTGGCTCGTGGAGACGAGCTCTCCACTCCAACGCTCTGTGACAATCAACAAGAACTCCCTATGGAACCCCACAGCCAGGTCGTCCTCGAGGTTGCAAGGAGACATGCTCGAGCAGTATTTTAGGTCATTCAAGAAGAAGACGAAAAACGAGTAGACTGGTAGAAGTACCGGAATTCGCTCAATGAAAATTGTGATGACAAGTCCTGTGAATAAGTAATCAAATAAATGATAAATTAGCGATTTCAGCTTGTATTGCAATACAATGTAACGTAAACAGAGCGGAGAAAGCTCGGTCATGCTTCGTTGCCGTCTACTGGAGAAGTCAGATAGATTCCTCACTTTCGCAATCAGAACGCATCGCTTCCGAAAAAAATAGACTATAATAAGTGCTGGCATCAAATCAGCATCCGTCCCGCGTAGAAGGGAACCGCTGAGAAACGTTCCTTATTCAAATGGTGCACCACCTCATTGGATTCGACCCGTCGCGAGGTCGAAAACCCGCATCATGAGGGCGAGTATCTGCGGTAATTGACTCAAATCAGTCCGGATCTGAGAAAGAGGAGGGCGTTGAAACGTCAACCAAATAAAGTTCAGAGGCAACCTCCTGTTACGTTGATCAGCCAAAATAAACTTACAGAATGTAAGACTTTGCTCAGTTAGTGTTACTTTAGCTATTGCTCCCCAGGGATAAAGCTTGTACGTCATCAACGTCATCAACTTCATCAAACAGTCTTCGCGCTGTTCGCGCAGCAGCTCGTAGTTCTCTCTCATATGGTAAATTATTGAATGAGCGGGTAGTTATTGTGACCACTATTTATATTGATACGATGGAGCAACGGTTTCAAATGACCGTCATCGAATTTGTCAAATGGTCTTCTCTCTGATATCACAGCAGCTGCAGTTCTCTCTCACTCACACATCTCCATTTCCCCAGTTCAAGGGAGAAAGGTAATTGAAGGTGACTACGACGTTCATCTGAGAAACAGTGAACCCTTGTGGTCGTGATTTGTCTCTTTTGAAAAGGTGCAATGATATTCAAGTATGAGTAGGTGAAGGCGCATTATATTCAGTAGGCCATTCCGATTAAGAGCCTTTGATGAAGATACTAGTAAAAAAAATACCGGCAAAACTTAATGAATTTTATCTAGCCTTTTGATGTCTACTACGTACAGATCTTCACTAGCGTGTTCAAAAAGAAGACGAGGCTGGTGGGCCATTCATTTCTTAGCCGATTTTGATTAAAGACAAAGAATGATCAAAAATATGACCTCAGACGGGAGTCGGACAGGCGTGGTGAGTGGTGGTGGCGAATGCATCGCGTTGTTGTAGTGGTAGCATGCGTCGTCCCCAGTATGGATGAAACGTGGGTTCGACTTCCGTCTGGGGTCGTATTTTTGCTCACCATTCAACTCTTCTAGGTATTTATGAAATATCATAACACTGCGAAAAGGTAGTAAAAACACCAAAATCAAATATTACAAAAATTGATCGACATAGAATTATCTGCCTTCTTAAGCTGATACTTCGTACTTGAAAAAAATTGTGGTGATCTGACACTATCTCAAACAAAAAATGCTTATCGGCACATCGCATTTGATAATGAAGTCGTTTGATCAAACATCTCAATGAGATATCCCTCGAAAACCTTCGCTTTATTGATGAAAACGTCATATTCTAGTATTACATATCTATCGCAATGATAGGCAACTCATAGGAGATTCAGCAAATCGGCTCATATCAAAAAGGCAGAGCATAAATCGAAAAACTCAATTCTTGAGCGCCATCAATAAGATAGGAGATATTTCTAGACAGGCACTGATTATTATTAGTCTACCTGGTCATTAATTTAATTGTCCGCGTTGATTATCGATCATCTAGTTTGAGTACGAGCATTTGCAGTAATTATAGAGAACATAATGTATATCTCGGACGTTACATATCACGCTAAGCCATTCGTCGATCATCTTCTGGACTCAGTGCTTCTCTCAATATTATGCTATGCAACTAAAACGTCAATACACATTTCAGTCATGCCGAGAAATCTATGCACCCACTTCAAAGGGTGCTCGAATGATGTGTTTGGACTTACCACGGGTGCATACAACATCAAGCCTTATTCCAAAGTTCGTAACTCATAAAGTCATTCGGGGAATCTCAGTTTGAAAATGAATTATGGGTGGATCAATTACATAGCGAGAACAATCTGATGAAACGAAGGAGAAGAATTTCAAAAATGAACGGTATAGAATGAAAGCATCTTTTGCTACCAGATCAGTTGGCATCCCTGTGGTTCGAGTCAAACAGTTGTATTCACAGATGCAGAAGCAATTTTTCTCAACGAGTGCACTTCTTAGTAGTCTACCACAGGCGACGATTCAACAGTGAGAAAAACGAAAATTATTCATGGAAAGCACACGAGATGGACCATTTAAGTTTATGATCATATAAAGATCTTTTCCCGTAAAAGTGTTAGAAAATCTATTACAGTCAGAGATTTTTGATACGTTGCCACAGCGATAACGCATAATGTCATGAAACGAAAGGGTTAACTACGAGAAATAGACAATTAGTAGAAACTAAATCATAAATCATGAACTAAAAGAACGAAGTGAGATCATGCTCGTAACGATATTTTTGATATATAGCAACACCTTCACATTCATTTTTGAAATAGAAATGAGTTTACAACAGAGAAGATATCTTTGTTTTATTAAGTAAAAAATCGTGATGAAGTTTTATGTCTGGTAATCTAAGTTACAAGTTTCTTTTGCTATTGATTCTTCCACGTTGTAACATTTATTTAATTCCCATAACATCAATCATCAATACTAAAAATGTTCTATGGATGCCGGGACGTTCATGAACTTTCATAGAGGATGAGAAAGAAACGTACATGAATTCTTATATGTAATTGCGATGAACAATATCCAGCCATGGATAAATCTAAAAAGATTTGCCATCAAGAAATAGAAAATGAAATTGAGGTAACTGGAAAGTGAAATTTAGTAAACGAGACGTTCAACACTACCACGGGAGAGCTTGAAAGCCTACTAACGAATACTTTCTGTCCAAATTGCAGCAGAGTCGCTTAAAGGGGTGAATTGGCGCCTTGGTCAAAAATGTTAGGACTAAAAAGTGTAATGAAACGGAGTATTTTGGTGCTAAGAAAAAAATACTAATTTTTCAACAGTACCAGCTATCTATGTGATGACTTAAACTCCAGCATTCCTTGCACTTAATTCGTTTCCTTGTATTCATCCTTCAAAACAATTTTCGAACATATCGTGTGTTTCTGCTGGTGCACGGGGATTTCGTGTCTTTTATGAATCAACTCTTATCAAGAGCTTTTGCGAGCTTGAGAATAGTCAAGTCAAGGTGTCCACATTACTCGTGGAAGAACGTTGGGAGAGGGAGTCGAACCTCTTCCTGACAATGTTCATCACTATCCAATGGGGTATCCCTCTCTTGCCCTCTTTCCTTCAAATAACAATGAAATCTGTCATTTGTATTTATTATCCCCACGTCACTTATATAACTTAGAGAATTGAGTGGTGAGCAAAACACGGCCTCAGGCGGTATTCGAACCCGCGTTTTATCTTATCCGGGGACGCGTGGTCTAGAATGATAATGTTGAAGAATGAGTGGTGTGGCAAATGTATCTCGGTGGTGTAGTGGCAGAGCACGCGTCCACGAAAAGGATGAAATGCGGGTTCGAATCTCGCCTGAGGCCGTGTTTTTTGTTCACCACTCAATTCTCTTAGAACAGTATGAATGATCATAACACCGGAAAAAATGCAGTAAAAATACTAGAAATCTCGGATATCAGAAAACTCAAAACAATCTGTATCTTTTCACTCTATTTGAAAACGCTACAACACGTTATTTCGTAATTTCGGGAAGCATTGACTTACCATTCACGACATAAACGAAAAATTCTCAAGCAGCAGCCGAAGCTCACGCGAAAAAAGTTTCAAAACCTTCGTTGTTGGATGCAAGGGAACAAATAGGACGCAGGAAGAGCTGTTCCACAGTGTGATATATGTAGTGTCGCATCACGTAAAGAAATCTCAACATTTAGAAACCAGGGACACTACCACCCATTCCCTCCCACAAGCTTTTTACAAGGAAGAAAAACCAAACAGCGAACTCGACCCTACTTTTCGCGTTTTTTCGAACGAAATTCTGCAAATACTCAACCACTTTCGGCATAGAAAAATAAGCTCCAATCTGACACACAAACAAAAACAAGGTTTGTCACAAATCAGGGAGCTCGTAAGATCAAAAACTATCCGTTTGTCCGTAAGTGATAAAGGTGGGGAATTTGTAGTGATTTCAAATCAGCTGGATGTCGATATAACGGAGAAACATCTTCAGGATGTCTCCCTCTATCGCCCATCCTCTGAGAAGGATTATAAACTCCAATGTAAAAAATTGAACAAAGAATGGGTCAACACGGCAAGTGCAGCGGGTTTGGAAACTTCAGTTATTTCTCGACTCAAAAACAATAATCCTATTTGTCCGGTCCTATACCTTCTCGTAAAAACACATAAACTTACATCTATTGATGATCTAGTGTCAACCGATCCATCAACATACAAGGTTAGACCCATCATCAGTTGTATAGGCGGACCAACGGATAGAATAACGTGGTTTCTAAACCTCATTTTTACTCAGGTGCTCAAATTCATACCAACCCACCTACCCAATACAAAAATGTTCCTTGACCACCTACGTTGCGCGAAACCTAACAACTCGCACGTAATGGAGTCATTTGATGTTAGCTCACTCTATACAAACGTATCAAATGACTCTGCAATGCAAGCCATTTTCGAACTTTTAACTGAAAATGAACAAAAAGTAAACATGTATGGCTTCACAATTCAACAACTAATGACCCTCCTAAAACAATGTCTTAGTTGTTCAATCTTTCGGTGGTCGGGAAAATACTTTACACAACTCAGGGGGTTAGCCATGGGTCAACGCTTAGCACCTAGTCTTGCCATCGCTTTTATGTATAAGGTGGAAGCTCCAATTCTCGTTCACCGCCCATTGCTCTACTGCCGATATATAGATGAATATTTCATTGTCTGTTCCACACAAGAGGAAATGGACAAATGTTTTGAAGTGTTGAACGGACAGTCAGAGCATATCAGATTTACGCGAGCAAGTCCAAACGGGGGCTGGCTTCCATTCCTAAATACCCAAGTAAAGCTTTTGGATAGTGGCTATAGTACAAAGTGGTATCGAAAACCAAGTAACAAGAACATTTTGGTCAATTACCTCTCCTCTCATCCTTCACACATGAAAAAATCGCTAATTAAAAACATGTTTCGAACAGCTAAAAGTGTGTGCACAGGAGAGGAGGAAAGGAACGAATCATTAGACTTGGCACGAAAGATCGCCATTTCCAACGGCTACAAAACATTTGCCACTAGGGAATATTCAAAAAGTGGAATTAGGTCACAAAAGAACAATACTCCGCACCTGAATAGAGTCCCCTTCAAATTACCATTTATATCAAACGAGATTAGTAGCGCGGTTAAAAGGTGCCTAAAAAGATGCGGTCTTGAAAATTCCGTGGTAATTATCGAAACCCCACCTCCCACCCTACGCCATCAGCTGATCCGCAATAGACTCTATGATCGATTGTGCAACACCAACAACTGTATGATCTGCCCCAACGGAAAAGAGGGAGATTGTATGAGATCAGGCACAATTTATTTGCTAACATGTAAAACATGCGGGGAAGAATATATAGGCGAAACGGGAAGACCACTTTTCATCCGCATAAAAGAACATCTAGACAGTAAATCTAAAATAGATAAAACCAAACCTTTAGGTTTACATAGGGCACAAAAACACAACAACAAGGATTTTGATGTGACTGTCACAATCCTGGCGCAGGAATCAAAAACGTCCACGCGCAAGACTCTTGAGGCATTTTGGATAAACGCCCAAAACCCCGAAATGAATCGGAAGGACGAGTGCGTCACCATCACGCGAGATCTCGCGCCCTTTCTTCGTTTGATCTTCTAACGTGACCTAGGCAGCATATAAATAAGACCATCCGATCATTCAAATAGACTAATACTATATACGTCCAGGCTCCGAAGAAGGCGGGTCGCCGAAACGTCAGCCGAATTTCTACAACTGTTTTACCAACCTCGCGTCAGCTAATCAAGATAAGTTTTCTCCATTTTCATATCTCAACATTTAGTTAGTCTTCATAGAAGCTGTTTCTTGTGCCTCTATTTTTCATCAACTGCACACTTTGGGTAAGTTGTCTCTCTTCTAATGAAATAGATGATCCGCATACACACAAAAGATTTAGAAGGAGATGAAATTTATTTGAAACGCTAGTTGTTGAGGAACAGAAAACATAATAATAACCTTATGTCGGTTCATTAACTCTACCATGATGATCTGAGTGTGAAAATAATGGTCGCTTTGATTTTAAATCAAAATATCTCAGCTCATGCGATTTTTAATAGCTGGAAAAAAAATGTTGAAACCTTGTTCATTGATCATATTTTTGTCCATCAGCTACAGATTATCCTATTCTACTAGAACGAAATCCTAAGCTCCTAAAGCTCCAGGGAACACTTGGTTTTTACTTTTTTACGTTGAGGCCTATGTTTCAAACGCAAAAGCAGCCTAATGGGTGGGCTTTTGTGCAGTGTGATGCGATGGTGTTCTTTAATGTATCCTTTATGTCTACAGGTGTCGGTACTGAAGTTTTGAAAACTCAAACAGTCTTCAACATATAGACTGATAGACTGTTTTAAGCCTTTCAGAGGTCTGGAATAGCATCTACCCTAAGCATACGTACGTTTCAGCGTCCTCACACACATCATCAGTATCACATGCCCTACAGCTCACCTACTAATAGCAGCGGCGCCGAAATTGTGTCACTCTAGACGAAGTGAAAGAGTCAGCCGATGTTACGGTCTAAAGTTATGATTGTCGATGGCTTACGGCTGTTACGTAAGCACATGACTGAATTCCAATCGATTGTGTTGAGACTTCGCTTGAAAATTCAATATAGTCTGATAGAATGGATTGTTATATACTCTCCAACAATTTTTTTTTTTGGAATTTTAGATAAATATGTTTAACACCTCCACGTTGTGCGATTCCACGTTGAATCGCACGAGCCGCAGGCAACCGAAAGCTTACGTCCGAACTTGCGAAACGATGCAGAGAAGCGATAAAAGAAGACCTTAAAGAGAGAGGAGCAGCAGTTATGGCAGAAGCTGCAGAAGCTGGGAAGAGCATTCGCAAAGCCCAGCGAGGCTTCGCCAACTATAAGACCAAGATGATTGCGCTCCGATACCCTGACGGGACACTTACAGCTTCCAGAAGGGCTATGGAGAAAATCATCCACCAGTACTACTCGGATCTCTTCGCTAGCCATGTTCTCTTACCGTCATATAAATTGAAAGAGGACGAATATGTCGTTCCACCGGTCCTTCCTTCCGAAATCCGACATGCTATATCGTCGGTGAAAAACAGAACAACACCCGGTTCAGACAGGATTAGACCAGAACACCTGAAGAACCTGCCGCCAGTTCTCATCAACACCCTGGCTCGGCTCTTCACTCGCTACCTGTCAGAATGCAAGGTCCCTATTCAGTGGAAAACCAGCAAGACCGTATTGTTGTTCAAAAAGGGAGACCTTCACGACATGGGCAATTATCGCCCAATCTGCTTGCTGTCCGTTGTCTATAAACTCTTTACTCGAGTCATCCTGAACAGGATTGACAGAACACTGGACGAAGGACAGCCATGCGAACAAGCAGGGTTCAGAAAAGGATTTAGTACCATGGACCACATCCACACGATCACAAGACTCATTGAAGTTTCGCGAGAGTACAAACAACCACTCTGCCTCACTTTTATCGATCTCAAAAAAGCCTTTGATTCAGTGGAAACAGAAGCGGTTATAGAGGCTCTGGATAACCAGGGCGTCCCTACTCGGTACAAAATGATCCTTCGTGAGCTTTATAAAGATTTCACGACCAGAATATCTCCATTCTGCAACAATATCACCATTGACGTAAGAAGAGGGGTTCGACAAGACGATACAATATCGCCAAAACTATTCACTGCCACCCTACAAAACGTCATGCGAACATTAGAATGGGACGAAATGGGAGTGAAAATTGACGGTCGACAATTAAACCATCTTCGCTTTGCTGACGATATCGTTCTCATAACACCAAACATCAGCCAAGCGGAACGAATGTTGACTGATTTCGATAACGCCTGTGGATAGATCGGTCTTCAACTGAATCTAACGAAAACAATGTTCATGAGGAACGGATGGGTTTCTAATGCCCCATTCACGCTCAACGGAACGACAATTTCCGAATGCTCCAGTTACATCTATCTAGGTCGTGAAATCAACATGATGAACGACCTAGCCCCAGAGTTGAGCAGGAGGAAACGAGCGGCTTGGGGAACGTTTAAGAGCATCGAAGATGTAGTGAAGAGGACAAAGAACATCCGACTCCGTGCCCACCTTTTCGACTCGACAATTATCCCTGCCCTAACGTATGCAGCAGAAACCTGGTCGCTACGTAAGCAGGATGAAAGATCACTTGCCGTTATCGAACGCGCAGTCGAAAGGTCGATGCTAGGAGTATCTCGTATTTCGCAAATGAGACAAAGGATCCGAACTTCCGACCTACGTCAACGATCGAAAATCAGAGACGCCGTTCTACACGCCAG